GCCGTCTTCGTGCGAGGCGAAATGCTGACCGTGACGCAGCCCTCGATTGTACGATTACCAAGAAGTGCTACCGAACGGGCGGCTTGATGCCGTAGTAGCACTCGAGGCCGTCTTCGTTGCGAAGCGCCACATCGGCGCCTTTCGAAATCAAGTAGGCGCCGAGGGTTTCGCCGTACCCGTAGGCAAAGCAGTAGTGCAGGGGGTGTTGCCCCGAGCCTAGCATCTCCATCGTAGTACGAGGTAGCGTGGAGAGGTCGTACGTTTTGGAGGTTGATGTTGGCGCCACGTCGGAGCAGCATCTTGGCGAGCCGCTTGAGACCGTTCTGGCACGCAATGACGAGGAGTGAATTCCCGTTGGCGTCTTGGAGGTTGACAGGAAGGCCCTTGGCCAGCATCGCGTCCACTTGCTCAAAGCGGTTGTGGCGCGTGAGCGAGAAGACGTCCGACGTCTTGACCACCCGCCGAGTCGGCGCCTCGTCGCTCTCGTCCGACGAGTACAAGACGGGCTCGAGCACGGGCGCCGGGACGCGGAAGGACGGGGCAGACCCCCGCGGCGACGTGAACCGGTGGTCGGTGGGCCCGGGAGGCGGTCCTTGACTGAGGGACCCCACGCGCCGCGCGGCCCCCGCGGTGTTGAGAACTGCGCCGCGTCGAGCATAAGTTGTAATCCCAACCTATGAATATCCGGCGCGTTTTCTTCTTCTTCAGTTGAGCGATGCAGCGCGGGTCGGTTGCGTTCGGTTACCGTCTCGGTCTCTGTGTGAAGAAGTTGGCTCAACAGTGGACAGTCTGCCCTTGGTTCTTGACCGTATCGGGGGAAGGCTCAAGGAGAAAGGAAGGTCATGACGAGTTCGCCAAGACGGCAGGTCGACGCGCCAACAGGGTGTGTGACGCGACCAGCGGCGATGACCATCAGCAACACGCTTTGGCATTCAGGTCGCTCTGCATTGGCTTGCGATGGTGGCAAGGTCCTCGCAACCCGTCAAATTACGCTGCGGTACAAACCAACCCACGAGGGTACGACATAGCGACCTAACCTACGAGGTTACTAGCGACCTAAACTGCTAGGGTACTAGCGACCGAAACTGCTAGCGTTCGAGGATAGTACGAGTTGAATTGTGAATACCACTTGACTGGGATTTGGTTGGGTGCGTTTAGCCCGATTGCCTTTTCGATTCCGGTTGCGTGACCAAGCAAGCGGATATCAACTCGACATGCGACCTGCGTTTCCGCCGCCGGTGCACCCGCCGACGGGCCTCTTCACGCCGACGTTGCGTCCGCCGGCGCCCGAGGAGCCTGCGACGAAGCGGCCGTACGTCATGGAGGACCGCCATCTGAGCAAGATGCTCTGGGGCGCTACGGACGACGAGGACGACGAGGCCGCGGTCGCGATCCAGCCCTGGCGCATGGGCACGCCCCGCCTCAAGACGATGGACGTCGCGCTCGTCCTCTGCCTCAACATTGGCACCGACCCGCCCGACATCGCCAAGCCGACGCCCTGCGCGCGCAAGGAGTGCTGGGTCGAGCCCTTCTCGATGCCGGCGCTCAAGGCGCTCGAGACCATCGGTACGAGGCCGTCTCGCGTCGCCGTCGCGTGACTATCGTTCCTAGGCAAGACGCTGCAGTCGCAGTATGAGCGCTGGCAGCCACGCGCGCGGTACCGGCAGTCGCTGGACCCGACCGTCGACGAGATCAAGCAGCTCTGCGTCTCGCTGCGGCGCCACGCCAAGCACGACCGCGTCCTCTTCCACTACAACGGCCACGGCGTGCCCCGCCCGACGCCCAACGGCGAGATCTGGGTCTTCAACAAGAGCTACACGCAGTACATCCCGCTGCTCGTGTACGAGCTGCAGGCGTGGGTCGGCACGCCCTCCGTCTACGTCTTCGACTGCTCGGCCGCCGGCACTTTGCTCCAGCACTTTAGCACGGCCACGGACGCCTTCGTGCTCGCGGCCTGCGGCCCGGACGAGATCCTCCCGATGCACCCGGACATGTGCGCCGACGTCTTTACGAGCTGCCTCACGACGCCGATCACGGTCGCCCTCCGCTGGTTCCTCTCCCAGGTAGTCCCGTCGATGTCGTATTTGCTGGCTCATGGGCCCCTCTAGAACGAGCGCAGCATGGGGCATTTGGAGCCAAGCGTGATCGACCGCATTCCAGGTACGATCCTCGATCATGGTTGGTTTATAGAAAAGGACTATATTGTTGTCTGTGACATGTAGGCAAGCTCACGGACCGCAAGACGCCGCTGGGCGAACTCAACTGGATCTTCACGGCCATCACCGACACGATCGCGTGGAACCTCCTCCCCGCGCCCCTCTTCCAAACCCTCTTCCGCCAGGACCTGCTTGTCGCGTCGCTCTTCCGCAACTTTCTGCTGGCCGAGCGCATCATGACGACGCTCGGTACAACTATGATCTGCGATGCGCATTCTCTGATCGGTTGATGGAGGCTGCACACCGTGCTCGCTGCCCGCGCTGCCCTCGACGGCCCACCACCCGCTCTGGCGCAGCTGGGTACCCTCCATTATCTTGGAGGCCGACTGAATTTGGAGAGGTCTCTTAGGACCTGGCGGCCGAGACGTGCCTCTCGCAGCTCCAGGCCGTGCTGTCGCGCCCAGCATTCCGCAGAGATTACGTTCCACCACTCGTGGCTTCTTCCCGAGTAGCTCATGGCGTTCGAGGTTCTGGCTCGAG